TATATATATATATATATATATATATATATATATATATATATATATATATATATATATATATATATATATATATATATATATATATATATATATAATTTTGTAAGAAATAAAATTATATATATATATAATATTAAGAAATTAAAAGAATTTATGAAATAAATATACACGAAAAATTGACGAGTAGGCTACATGGCGCACGCTGACCCTGTTACAATTTGTCTGACTAGAGTGGTTTCTTATCTAATCCTTAGGATCAAGATGATGAATGATGATGATGATGATGCATTGATGTTATCGGACAGTGATCAGATGAAATTAGATTTTTGGGAAAGGTTGAATTTGCGAAAATACTCGTATTAATTACTTTCGCTATTTGTACAATTTTGGGGAACACATTGGTTTTGGTGGCGACTTGGAGAGAAAGAAGTCTTCATCAACCAAATAAATACTTTATTGCTTGTCTGGCTATCGCAGATTTGTTGGTTGGTATGATTTTAGAACCATTCGTGCTGTACCAAATCACTTTGGATGGTGAATGGCGACGTACCAGGTCTATTCACCTATGTCGTTTTATGGTGTGGATAGATACCTTCGCGTTATCAGCATCTATTTATATACTGACATTTATCAGTTTTGACCGATATCTCAAGATCACAAAGCCACTTCAATATAGAGTCAGAATGACAACTTCCAAATCATTGAAAATTATCTTTGTCATTTGGTTGATTTCAACTGCCTTTGCCACCTACGCCGCCACTCCTAATTCAGGAAGCCTGGAAATCTTGGCTACAAGCGAGAAGCATTGCAGTCCTGTTGATGATAATAAGACAATAGAATTCTATACTTTTCTGCCAATATGTGTATTTTTTCTACCCACCGTGGTCATACTTGTTATGTACGCTCTTATTTTTGTTGTTGTTCATAAACGACAGAAGATGCTGAGAAATGGGGAACTGGGTCAAACCTGCAATGATCGGAACCAACGACGTGCCTTTCTTCAAGATCTGAAGACTATTCGAATGCTATTGGTTGTCGTTGGAGTGTTTATACTTTGTTGGGGCCCTTACTTTATTTGTCCGTTTTACTATCCAAATTCTGCTGATAGCCATAACCGCTCATTAAGTTACTGGTATTTGTTCTATGCAGGTCTAACACTAGTAAAGACACTCCCACTCTTTAACAGTCTATGCAATCCAATAATCTATGCCTGTCTGGATCAAACGTACAGAGGGGCTTTCAAAAATCTGTTCCAGCGAATGCGGTGCCGACCAAGCTCAACAAGACAACCACTGCGAAACGGAATAGAGTTACCTCCACTAAGAACTAGATAAGGAAACATTTCATTAATATGCGAATACCAGATCTCACTCTGGTATTTTTATTTTTATTTAATCCGTATTTTTACTGAATTTTGGTGTCTGTCAATCTGGTATTTTTAGTTTATTTAATATGTATTTTTACTGAATTTTTGTGTCTGGAAAACATTATATATTTTCTTACTCTAAAGGAGAAACTAGAAAAATATCAGCAACCTCAAGTCCATAACTTTTATAGGGTATAAGGTCTTGTGGTGCAACAGTTAATTAGATGTGACCTTAAAATGAACAGCTGATATACATCATTGGAAATAAGAGACCATGTTGACTTTCGAAAAACATTCTTTAATTCACAAAGGTGCACAAATTCCGTGTTTACTTGAGTTATAGTTAAACTATACAGCTCTTTGACAATGAGCGGTAGACCTTGCAACTGAGCTTATTAGTCTACCAGCCGCGCAATAAACTGATAGCTCGATTAAAGGCCCAAATCGTCTTCGCAGAAAAGAAGTGCGCATGCGTGATATCACGTATTTGGGGAATATCACGCACGCGCACTTCGTTTCTGCCAAAAGTTGCAATGAGCTGTTTGACGCACACTAGGAATTTTTGTCACGAATGACAGAAAATATCAAACAAATTTGATATTTTGTTGTTCACGACACGAGTGACAAAAATACTGAATATTTTCCCCGCACCTTAGGATTTTTGTCGCACGTAATTGATCACGAATGACAAGTGTGCGTGCAACTTGCACTAGTGTGCGCCGGGCTTTATGTGCGCCAATTAATGCTATTGAACAATGGACAGCAGTAATTATTTACAGCGATTATGTCCTTGACTCTGTCCTTGGAGATTAGTGACAGATTACGTTAAGGCCTCAGTTATGATAGGGTACAATAGTGCAACGAGATTTTAAGCAATAAAAACTACCTACAGGGTGTATAAAAAGCGGGACCTTTAGAAATCAGAATTAACCTAACATCAGCAATTTCGTTTTGTTTCAGTGATGTGAACACAATTAGAAGCTATCTTAAATGCCAAAATATGTAAGATTGTGTGCTTTTCTGAAGTTTCTGAAATCTAAAGGTCTTGTTTTGTCTCGTACCCCTAGTATAAAGGGCACATATAGCACAAAGAGAGGCACAGACATAGCTCCAGTGTGAAATAGACTCGAACTGCATGGTAATAATCAGACACTGAGCTTATTTAACTGCTTTAATATTATGCTCTATTACTTTTTCTCAAAGTTTAAATTTTACATTCTATTCATTTAATACTATTATAGTTTTAAGTAAAACTTATGTTATTTTGTGTTGTTTATCAATAATAACGTTGCGACAAAGCTAGTACTAGTAGCGTTTTAAATTTTGGAAAGCAACCTTTTTAATTTAATTTAGGGCAACTTTTGAGCAACTTTTCCCCATTTGTTGAGCAACCTTTGCTCAAATTAGGAGCACAATCTATAAAGGCCTACAGGTGCGCTACTCAGAGTTAAGTTCTGAATTTAATAAAGTAAAAAATCACATCACGCTCAGAATTGCCGTTTTTTCCAACTCGTTGTTGCATTTAATTTCAGTGTTCAATAGACCTTTCCCCTTTTGAGTGAAATATTGATCTAAACAAGTCTGGACAAAAATTTCATCACAGCTTGAAAGAGCATCACAAAATTAGGAATATTCCGAAGTTTCGTTGCGAAATGTTGTAAAATGCGGATAATATATATAGGCTTTAGCCTTGCGAAGTTTGCCGTTTTACAGTCATTTTAATTGTATTACAAATGGGAAATTGATAATCAGTTTGATCATCTGATGAAATTTTTGTCCTTTGATTTTTGCCCAGGCATATCTAGATTAAAATTTCACTCATAAGGGGAAAGGTCTATTGGATCATCTTATTAATCTGCAATACATCAGAAACATTTTTGCATCGACAATTTAGTAGTTTGAAGCACAGAGAAAAGTAAAATTAACACTAAATGAACATCAATGGTCAAGAAAATATTATTTCAATTTTGAAAATCAAAGTCCAATGTTCTTTAATATTAAATCCAGCCAATCGGAACCATTAAGTTCCGTTGTGACCAATCAGAAACAATTACCCAGATCTGAGTAGCGCAGCTTGGGGTCAACAAGCAATACCATGCAGTACATCAGTTGCCTGGTACGAGTTGACGTATCTGAGCTCCCATTATTGGTGCATGTGCGCACGTCTAGAAACAATAATCTGGAAGCCGGATATATTGGCCCACTTAAAAATGCCATCCGGGTTACCGGGACGATTTTGTTGTTTTCACATTGTTTTGACAGTTGGTAAAAATAGCTTGCGGCGGATATTAATCCCAGCAACCGGACGATGCAGCCCGCTTGTGAGTGTTTATTTATATATATACAGTGGATACATTTTCATCCCGGTGGATACATTTTCATGGATGGATACATTTTCATGGATACATTTTCATGGATTTTCATCCCGGTGGATACATACATATATATGGATACATTTTCATCCCCCCCCGTCGCCAAAAAAATTTCGGTCAGTGTACCATTTTAGGGGTCAAAAATTTTTTCCCGACATACCAAAAGTCAAATATAAACTATAAATTGTCTGAATCTCATGATTTTCGTACAAAAACCATCGTTGTAAATGTGATTTATCACGTATTTTTTTATAATTGAAAGGGCACTTCTGCCCCCCCCCTTGCCCTTTAGCAAAGGCAGCCGCCCCTGCCCAGTTCCGGCGTCCCTGCCAGTGCGGTGTAGATTTCACTTGGTTGTCTCTTTAACCGGGTAATTAAACGCGGCTTCCATATATAAGCAGCCCCTCAGTAAACGTCACACAATCAGGTTAATTTATGAATTGTTTAAAGCTTCAACGTTTGAGCACGGTCAGTTGAAACTTGGAAGTTGAAAAGAAAAGTAAGAATTTCCGGCAAAATTTGGGAGTTTATATAGTCGCCGGGAGAAGAGAAGATTAACAAAATAGACATTGAAAAACATTACAAGAATTTATAAAGGTATGAGCAAACTGTTAGTCTGCAAACACGAATTAATACATATTTCTAGCTATAGAAGCGTCATTTCTAGTTTACTTCTGGATAACCGTATTGACTAGGCCAAAAAGATAGATCTCATTGTGTAGAAGGACAACAGAATTAAATTAGTAATACATACACACGTTACAAGCATATTATTTGCTTATAACTATCAACAAAATGTTTTTATTGATAAACTAAAACAAAAGGTTGAGTAGAGTAATTTGTATAGATGATGGTGATATAGCAATTGATTAATATGGTTCAGTAAGCTAGATAACACGATATACAACGTAGCATGCAGCGGTAAGATGGTATTCGGAGACGACGAGACTAAGACTAAAATACGAGACTAAAAGACGTTTCTAAGTCTTTTCTTTTACGTTTCCTAGTCGTTTCTCGAAGACGTTTCTAAGTCGCTTTTAAAAAGTCGTTTTTAAAAGACGTTTTTAAAAGTCGTTTCTAAGTCGTTTCTAAGACGTTTCTTGTCTTCCTACGAGACTAACAGACGTTTCCAATATTCAACGAAGGGAGCAGCTGACCTTGATATGAATATATATATATATATATATATATATATATATATATATATATATATATATATATATATATATATATATATATATATATATATATATATATATATATATATATATATATATATATATATAAGATAGTGTATGAAAGTACACTCCGGATGAACTCTGACAAAGATAATGAGTTGTGAAGGAGTCCAGGTGATATATATCCTAAAACTACCTACTGCCGTGATATTTGACAAGAATTTTAGTGAAAACTGAGGCAATGAAAGAGAAACTAGAAAAAAAGCAAAATTGATGATATTGCTTTGGATGTATGCAAATTAAAAGACTTGAGGGCCTTAAACTAACATCACGAGAACATATTTGCCTTAAGGCTAATTTTCCACTCCGGAAAATAAGAGGCGGATCTGACCGGATCGGAGGTTTTCCCTGATCGGATTGAAAAAGTAAAAAATGGAACTCGTTTCAGTCTCACATTCTCCATTTTGCAAATTTATATTCAGGTATTTTTTCTGTGTTGGTGAAATGTACTCAGGTGAATATTTAAATATAAACCCTCGAACAATATAAACCCTCGAACAAGACTATACGCGTTGTACACTGAATTGCCCAGAATAAATGCTCATTTTTTGTAGTCATGTTGTGGAAGCTGAAAATCTTGCTAAGTTTAACAGTCAGCTTAAACTGCACATGAATTTGTTTTAATTAATCACTAAATTATTTTAGTAACATTAATTTTCTCAACTTTGTATATCCTACTATAGTCACTATAGTTTTTATATTTTGGGGATCTTATCATAGGACTAACCTCTAGATTCTCCAGTAAGGACTTTAATACTTTCTTTATTATCTTAATATTCCTATAATGTATTAATTAAGGTACCTTGAATAAATTTATTGATTGATTGATTGATTGATTGATATGATGCTTGTGATGTTACTCTTAGTGTATAATATCCACACAGGGCAAGCTTGAAAAATGTGCCTGTCCACGGTGGGAAACCGTGGCCAGGCATATTTTTCAAGCTTGCCCAGTGTGGATATACACTCAGAGTAACATCACAAGCATTATATACAGGTATTATTTAATTATTTTAATTTATGGGATAATACGGTATTTTGATTAGTCGCCCAATTTAATCCGCGGGATCGGAGCAAAGACCGTTGAAAATATTTCAACCTTTTATTATCCGGCCAGCGATGTCGCCGGATCAATCGGAACCATAAAATACTACTGATGGCGCATGCGCTGATTTTGAATTTGTTTTGTTCCAATCCGATCCGCTGCTCATTTTCCGGAGAGGAAATTGGTCTTTAGTAATTAGGCTAAATGCAGAAAATGCTTTCTTGAACCAAATTAAACCTGATTGAAGAAGAAAAATGCTCATTAATGCTCCACACACATTTAACAGTATATGTGTCAAGTGTCACTCGTGTCGTCCGTTGTCCAGTCTTGTGGATAAAATGTGTTGTAAATAATGTGTACAATAACGTGTTTTTTTTGGGTTTTTTTTTATATATACATATATATACGGTACATATTATTAGGGACCCTGTAAATGGAGCATTAAGCTCTGTAGGGTTAACCTATCATTTATGACTAAGTTTGTAAAAAAAAAAGCTTTGGTTCTTGCATTAAAACTTCTGAAAAGTAATTTATGCAATGTGGCTGCAAGCATGCAATAAAAATTGTTACTAATCCTAACTGAGCCCGGAAGGTTTGGGAAACCAATTTTAATGTAATACTATAGGAACTATAGGAAGACATATTGCGAAAGTCACCGAACTGTGGAATCGCATCAAAAATTCGTATATCGGCCACTTCCACAAACGTCTACGACCGCACCTACATAGTTTTGCATGTTTACAATTCTAATTTTGAACAGCCAATCAGGTTCTTGGTAACAATTACAATTAAACGTTGAATGGCTGTTTAAAATTAGAATTGTAAACATGCAAAAATATGCAGGCGCGGTCATAGACGTTTGTGGGAGTGGTTGATATACGAATTTTTGATGCGATTCCACAGTTCGGTGACTTTCGTAATATAAGCCATAAGACAATCCTCTGTTCCATGCTGAATTTGAACAATAAAACATAGTCAATAACATAGGTACGTTAGGGAACTCGGTGCAGTCATAATAGACCTCATTATCTATGTTTTGTCTTGGTGTATGCAAAAAATGGTCCAAAAAATGGTCGGTTCATCCTCACGTGTGTATTGTTTTTCTCACCCAAACAGCCAATTGCAGTGTGTTGGTTTAATTACCCAGTCGTGAAATAACCCAATATATGGTTCAATTATAGTTAATATATATGACATGGTTTGGAAACCCTTTGTTTTAGGTGATTGTGTACCTTGTGGCGGGTCACGGTTGAAAAATCCTTTGTCTTTCTATTGTTTTGACAATAATCAGTTCAGACAGCTGGCGTAAGGAATGGGTACTAACAGTTTGTTTTGCCTACCAGAGCTATATCTTACGGCATATTTTGCCAATAACGAAGTATTACCACCATTTTTCGATGGAGAATGTTTGTGTTACATCGTTTGGTCAGTTCTCATTGATTAAAACCAATATGTGCAGGGTCAAACAGACTGTTCAAGCTCCATGTTTCATTATCCCCGAGCCGACGGCGCGAAGCGCCGTGCGAGGGTATTAATCCCCCCGGCTATTTACACCTGGGGAAACGAAAGCATTAGCGGAGTCTAAAGTTCATTAAATATCACGGGCGTGGTTCACCAACGGTGTTGGGTGGGTGGTCATCCTCACTGATCTCAAAAATATGGCGGACTGTCACGAATAGCGGACACTGATTGGTCCAATGTTTGTATAGGTAATCATGCGATGGCGAGTACAATTAGGGATTAATAGTACGAGTGATGTTTGGAAATTTTGCCAAAATTGGACGAGCCGCTGGGGTGAGTCCAATTTGGCAAATTTCCAAACATCACGAGTATTACTAATCCCTAATTGTACTAGCAACATCGCATGATTACTTGTTTATTATTAGCATGACAAAATTGGATACGTACTTCTCAATGTCAACATCATGTTCTCTGGCCAAAGCCCAGTCCTGCCAGACTTTCAACCAAAATTTGGTGCTTTTGTTTGTATTTTCATTTAGTTCTTTTGTTCAAGCAAAATTTGGTGCTTTTGTTCGTATTTTCATCTAGTTTCTTCACGGCAATTTCATTTCACATCTGTGTTTAAAATAGCTTTCCGCCATTTTGTTTGTTTTGGGAAAATCATTAATTGTACTTCAGTACAATTAATGAAATAATTGTACTCCTCTCAACCAATCAGCATCCAGTAATTTGGTCATGCTAATAATAAGCATTATAACAACTGCATGATGACAGCGAAATAGGAAACATTTCTTGAGTTGATTGTTCGCATTTTTGCAAAATTTTGTAAATTGCAAAAGCTCTCTGAGAAAGGAACTGCGAAAGAATCGGCTAAAAGAAGGGAGCTGACGTTAACGAAGGTAAGTTTGTTTTAAATATTGATTTTATAATGGATTTAAAACCCGACGGCCTTTGCGTATATGAAACAACTAAACAAGACAGCATATAATTTCAGTGTATCTTTAATTGATTCCCTTTTTTATGATATTGAATTTTTTAAATAAATAAGAAAGCAAAGTTATTTTTGCAAGCGAGAATTTTAAATCATTTTATTGCAAACTCAATGTTTATCGATAAAGCCATTTTAAAAGGCAGTTTAGTTTTATATTAAAGAACACTAATGACTTTAAAACGCTTTGCGAAGCGTTTGTGGTTGAATTTTACCTTAAATCGAGGCTTATATTACGTATAATAACATACCTAACATATATATGGGAAATTAATAATTTTGTGATTAAAAGTGATATTTATAGGCGATTTTTCATTTGTAAGAATATTCTTAAAAAATTATCGTGTTACCATGACAACTTAGATACTTCATGTTCGGAAAATACAATGGTTTTGTCAGCAAGGCGAGCGTTTCTGCATGCATGTATTTTCTAGTAGCGTAATTTCTTTGAAGTTTGCCGGGTTTCCTAACCAGGTCTTATAACAACCATGGTTAAATGAAAACATAGCTATTGGTTGCTATAGCGAAAATACAATACACACTTGACGATAACCGAACATTTCTTGCATAAACTATGACAAAGACTTAGGTATAGACATAGAAAATAACGTCTATTCTGTCTGCATTGAGTTTCCTAACCTTCTTATTTTATTGACTGTATGAATAAACAGATGATGCGCAATCGTGATAATTCCAAACAAGACCTGTTAATTTAAACACATCTCTGGATCGAACGTCATTAAAGACTTGCTGGCTACGTTGATCACTCCTACAAGAATAGAGTCAATATAATGAAATGCGGAAAAGCAAATCAAGCCATTATCGTTAAAAAATTGGAGAATGCATATAATTATGTAATAAAATTGATCAGACGACTTTGAAAATTGATTCATTGTCTACTGGTTAGGAGAGTAAATCAAACCATGTAAATAAAATTGAAAATGCTGATAAAATTATTTAGTACAAAGATGAAAGCACTATTGGATGTTATGCGTTTGGAAGAATGCCCAGAAAATAAATTAAACACCCGCCAAATTTTTCAGTATATTTTAATAATATATTCTATTTTAATAATATATTCTTTTTGGTTTTTATGATGAAATAGAAAAAAATTAAGCCTTGTTATTGGTTCATTAACCCCCCCCCCCCAAAAAAAAAATACCCCGCCAAATTATTGTGGCAAAATCGGAATTGAGGTGAAGTGGACCAATCATGCGAAGAGCATGCACTCGTGGGTTTTTCAAAGACTTCACAAATCGTTTATCGTCTTTTATCGCAGTTAAAAAAACCTTTTTCGCGGCTTTGAAAAACTTATTTTAAATTCCACTCAATTCCACTTTTAGTTACGCAGAGTACAGTGGCTTTGTATTTACATTATCTGGACGACGCATAACCGCATTAGCTACTGCATGTAGCTACATATCTATCAGCAAGATTTTAATAAGATACATTTCAGCTGCTGTTGCAATTATAATAGTTAGCTATAGTCTGTTTTGTTTAGTTCAAGGTAGTATTTTAATCTGCTTCAAAGTTATATAAAATTCCATGTAAACGACTAAACTCTTTGGAATGTATAGAATATGAATAGAAGTATTGACTAACATATTAAGAAATTGACTGTCTGACTATGACATCAATGCGCGAAGAATTGACAAGTACCGATATATGCAGCACCCTGACCTTCTTAGAATTTGTCTGACTAGTGTGGTATTCTTATCTATTCCTTAGGAACAAGTTTTGCCGTGATGTTGCCAAATGTCACAAATGAAGCGGATGCAAATAAAACAGAGACGGACAGTGAGAGGATGGAATTGATTGCATTTCTGGACCAACTTGATTTAGCAGAAAAAATTATATTAATTATCTTCGCCATTTGTACAATTCTTGGAAACACTTTGGTTTTGGTGGCGACTTGGAGAGAAAGAAGTCTTCATCAACCAAATAAATATTTTATTGCTTGTCTAGCTGTCGCTGATCTTTTGGTTGGTATGATTTTAGAACCATTGAGGGTCTATCAACTCAATCTCGATTATGAATCGATACGTACGATGCCTGTTCATCTATGTCGTTTTATGATATGGATAGATACCTTTGTGTTAGCGGCATCTATTTATACGCTGACATTCATCAGTTTTGACCGATTTAGGAAAATCGGGAAACCACTTCGATATCAATCCAGAATAACAACTTCCAAATCATTGAAAATTATCTTTGTCATTTGGTTGATTTCGACTGCCTTTGCCACCTACGCCGCCACTCCTCATTCAGGAAGCTTTGGAATCTTGCAAACAAGTAGTTCGATTTTTTGCTCTGTCGATGACAATGACTATGTCAAAAGATTCTATATTTTTCTCGCAGTATGTGCATGTTTTCTACCCATCATAGTCATAATGGGTATGTACGCTCTCATTTTCGTCGTTGTTCGTAAACGACAAAAGATGCTGAGAAATGGGGAACTTGGTCAAACTTTCAACGATCGAAACCAACGAAGGGAACTTTTGCAAAATCTGAAAGTTATCCGAATGTTAGTGGTTGTCGTAGGAGTGTTTATACTTTGTTGGGGTCCCTACTTTATTTATATATTGCTTTGGTTGTACTATATAAATTTGATTGAATGGGATAGCAAGTCACTCAGCTACTGGCGTCGGATTTTCTTAGCTGAACTTGTAATATACATACTTCCTTATTTTAATAGTCTATGTAATCCTATAATTTATGCCTGCCTAGATCAAACGTACAGAGCGGCTTTCAAAAATCTGTTTCAGCGAATGATGTGTCGACCAAGCTCAAGCAGACGACAACTATATACTTGAGACAATAGAGTTGCGCTGACTGAGAACAGGATAAGGCAACATTTTATTAAAGGGGCGGTGTCACGGTTCTACTGCGCATCCAAAATATGCGCGAACTTGAAAATCTGTCTGCCAACAATTAATCAAGTTAAGAGTGAAATACGATATACTATTTATAATCCTTTGTTATGCAGGACATCCTTGCTTTGTTTTAAAAATTGAAGCTTAATTTAAAGCTGCTGCATCTTTTCGCCTTTTAGCCAATCAGCGCCGTGATACTTCCCCTTTAATATGGGCATACCAGATTGTGCGTTTAATCTGTATTTTTACTGGACCTTAGTGTTCTGAAAACATATACGTTCTTGCTCTAAATGAGAAATTCGCTTATGAAATGTGCTTATAAAAAGCTGCGGTCAAAGTTTTATAAACTTATAACCAAACGTGATCCGTGGTGTGATCTTTAAATGTCCAGGTCTTTTCAAAGAGATTTCGCCCGCAAACAATAAATATCAGTTTGCGGTTACTGTTTCGAACAGTCGCGAACTATGCATTCTTAATTAATATACAGTTTGTTACCTAATTTAATCTGATTATACGTTGATTTAATTTAATTTATTTGCATGTAGTAATATGAGACGGTGTTGAGTTATACAGGGTGTATCAAAAAAAGCGCAATCCTCGACTGAAATGTAAATTGCTAAACAAATAATAGACGAAAACGTTAAAGTTTACATTCATTTTAAAGCGTAGCCATTCAGCTTTCTAACAGTGGGTTGTTCTTAAATTTGACTCATTGGTTCGCGGGTAATAATACT